ACCGTAACCGTCTCTTCTTGCGAATAGAAAACAATATGTAGATAATAATAATAATAATGTCCTCCAGACCGAATTTCGGCCACGGCGGCCTGTCTCAGCGGAGGCTAGCCATCGGCGCACTTATGTGCCAGTGATCGCAAGCACAGGTGCACTCTCTATTCCCTCACTCTCACAATCCGATGGGACGGTAAACCGACACGACCGGAGAGAGATCAGGCGCAGGACCAACGGCTTTACGTGCTTTTCGAGGCACGGGGGTGAGACACCGCTAACTTCCTGACTCCGGGCAACTACTGAGAATTTCATGACGGAAAAACTCAATAATTAATTTTTTGGCCCGACCCGGGATTCGAACCCAGGGCCTCATGATCAGCAGTCGTACTACTACAACCACTAGACCAACGAGGCAGTCAGAAATGATATGTATGTGGTAATATACGAGTAGCAGAATGATAAATAAAATAAACTCGTCCATTGCAACAGTAACACGATCGTTACCGCAGGGTAGCGTCCTAGAATGCCTGTTGTTCTCTACCTGTATCAACGAACTCCCTTCAGTAGTACCACATACGAGTCGTTATGTTTGCAAATGACACGACAGTTATAATTACTTGTAAACAAAGATAATCTTAGTTGTTTGCAGGAAAACATTGCAGAATGCCTTAGCAAATTTGTGGATGAATTAGAGGTTTATTATTAAATTTTGAAAAGATCAGAGTACACACACAATGCAGCTTCGCCCATATTCAAGATCAGAATTCCTACTATATCGTACTAAAGTATTGAGGAGGATCGCACATTTGCGCTCCTCGGGATAACAATGGACTCAACAAGTAAGGACACAAACAAGCAATGTGCGCTTACTGCGTACTGCGTGCGTACTTTTATTGTTTTCAAATTATTCACCACGTAATACACTTTTCCATTCGCTGGAAGAGCCGTGGTAGCTCAGATGGTTAACGCTCGCTGTAAATATAACAGAACGCGAGTAACCCGGGTTCGATCCCCGCCGACACCAATGAAATTTTGTTAATTGCAATTTTAAGTGCTGATTTACCACGTGCCCGGCGGTGAAGGAAAACATCGTGAGGAAACCTGCATGTCAAAAATATTTCGCAGACATGTGAAGTTCGCCAACACGCATTGGGGCAGCGCGGCGGACACTTCCTTGCCCCAAAACCCTCTCAGAAATGAGGGGGAGGCCTGTGCCCAGCAGTGGGACGTATATGGGCTGCAACTTTACTTTAACTTTTATTCGCTGGAACCAGTTATTAAAACATTTATTTGTACACGTAAATATTTTAATTTCATTTAACTCTATATTAATTAACATTTAAATTATGTCTTAAATTGCTACGCCTGTACAGGGTGTCACATGCTCTGAAAATATATTGTAACAAATTTATACTTTGTGACAAGCAATAAATGAATTATAAATAGTGTGTCCAAACTTTATGAGATTATTTATTGCATATACAAAGTGATAAGGTAAGAGGTAAGGGGAACCTACAGTTTGTGTGTCTAATAGTTTGATACGCGATGGGATGTGATGCGATTTTTTAGCTGTATAAAAAGGCTTCCTATTATTTATTTTTATTTAGAAGAGGTGGCAAACGAGCATGCGGCTCACCTGATTGTAAATGTCGACCACTGCCCGTGAACAAGTGCAACACCAGGTGATCGAACGACAAGGAATCGCAGGTGCGTGCCGGCCTTTTAAAAATGAGTAGTTTCTTTTCATGAAAGTCCCTAAGTCATATCGCTGGTGCGAGTCGATCGTCTTTGCGATCCACAAATAAGTTGTGCGAGGAAGAAAATTTCTTGTATATCACACAGTGGTGGACTGCCAATCATCCAGATGGTATGTATCGCGTCGCGAGTTTTGTCGTGATGTGCGATGGTGAAATTGCGCGGCTGGAATTAGTCCGAACAATTCCTCAGAGCACTCTCCGTGGTCGATGCGATGAAATACGCAAAGAAATGCAGCATCATTTCGAAGTGCCAGTGAGTCAAGCCGATAAGAAAGAGCTCGGTCGCCGACAATTCGAACCGCTCTACGCTGGATGCGATCAAATAGAAGGAGCTGGCACTGGAGAGCCCCGGCCCAGCGATGGGAACAATATTTCATGTGAGGCCGAATCTGCGCCTTGTAAAATTACAGGCTGTGTGCCGGTATCCCGCTCCGCTGAGCACGCCAAGCTTTCTAGAGGCCAATTTGGCCTTATGTTCCAAGTGCTCACTAAACTCATTCGATATGTCCGAGGATTCTGATACTGGCTGAGGCAACAAAGGGAGTAACCTGAAACTGAGGAGATACAATAAAAGGATTCCTTTTAGCGGTAAACGCGCAAACTTTTGTGTTCTTTTTTGTTTTGGAGATTAAACTGGACCAATTTTAGTCGTCCCAATCCGAGACTTTGTTTACAAAGTCTCGACCTTATACACAAGTTTGTTTCGGTACTCAGCGACTTTTTCTGGAGAAATATTGGCACGGTCGGTGCATAATTCATTACCAGTACTGTCGTCCGCATACCGCGAAACAGCGTTGATAATACACGCAGCCTTTTGGAACACCAGCGTTAATAGGCTTGTAACGAATCATGCGCCGTCTGCTACGACCTTGATCCAATTGCGCAATTTCTCGGGAAGCCCAAACGAAGGAAGCTTCGGAAGAAACGCTTTGTGCCAAGCTCGATCAAAGGCCTTCGCCATGTGCAAACTAACAGCCAATGCCTCCCCCTTGGATTCTACTGCCTCCGCCCATCTATGAGTCAGGTAGACCAGAAGATCAACCCGACGAAAACCGTATTGGCGGTTACTAATCAGCTGGTGATCCTCAAGGTACCTCATGAGCTGGCAGTTTATAATGGATTCCATTATTTTGGAGAACAAGGAGGTGATGGCAATAGGCCTGTAGTTAGACGGGTCTGAGCGGTCACGTTTTTTATGGATCGGGTGGACCAAAGGAGTTTTCAATGAATGCTTGACTACGATTAGGGAATAGGAGTACCAGAAAATACGCGTTAAAACCGGTGCCAACCCCGGACCACAAGTCTTTAGCACAATAGGAGGGACTTCCTCAAGCCCACTCGACTTGTTGTGTCCAGAGAAAGGAGTGCTTTGGGCACTGAGCGCTTCTGCACATCCTGCATAGGGCCACTCACACCGCGGGACAGCCGACAGTGTGTTCAGTTCGGTGTCATCGACAGTCGAGTTGGACGCAAAGAGAGAGCCTGGCAGATCTGCTTTCTCCTTTGCGGCATGGGCCAGTGAGTCATCCAGAGATAGCTGACAGAAGTTCCCTTGAACAGCCTTGGCGAGAGGCCAGAATGCATGTGTTTCCTAAGAAAGTCAAATTAGTTTCTCGCCTATTCTGGCGATGTGCTCTGACATGCCTTGACAATGACACTTTTAGAGGACCTGGAGACGGAATTATACTTCTTTTTAAGAGCGCTGGTGTTTGAGTTCCGAGACGTTAACCTCTAAAACGGCAAGCGTCCAAATTTGACCGCTTCGATATTCCGTCAAAATGCAAGACGACAAGTGTGACCCACCCACAGCACTTTAAACCCATAAATACTTATGTTTAGACTACTTTTATACGAAGAAGTTTGGCATTATAGAATCAATATGAAATTTTCTATCCTCTAGTGGAATAGAAAGTCAGTTAGTCTATGGATATTTATTCATAATCTACGTTCATTTCGTACACCAATTTCGTGTGAATGTTATTGTGTTGATTTTTGGATTTTTCTAGTGTTTTATTATAAAATTGTAATGAAAGTTTTTGAGTGAATATAATTTATCTTTTTACATAAATAATTTCGAGTTCGACATCTGCTTGGCATGTAATAAGCAAAGTAACGGTAACAGTAACGGCAATACGTAATATGATTTTGTTTCAGTTTGTGCCTATTAAAATTAATTAGTACTTAAAGTGTATGAGTTGAACTGTACTTGAGGTAAAAAGTCGGAAGAACAAATAAAAATGAATTCCGATTAACCACCCGAGAGTTGATTTTTGAGAGTGCATAAACGGAATAACCCATTTGGACATGCCCAATGAGTCGGTCTGTGTCAGAACTACCGTTATGGGACCTAAAGAGGGTGCCTCTTTAGGTAGATCCGTAGATGCGGGGATGTTCGTCACTATCTATGCGCAGCCAGGTCCGTACCTTCAAGACTGCCGAAGCCTCGAAAACAGATGTCTTCTTTGACATACACGCAAACTTCAGCCAGGAGCACAAAGGAATGTTCTAATTTGTACCCTGGCTAGGAGAGATACGAAGTATCAGCCGGAGAGGACACCTGTGTCTCAGTTAAAAAGAGCAAGGCCGGCTTCGCCGTCTCCAAAAGGTAGTGAACGCATCATGGCAACATTTCTAGCGAAGTAAAGAAAAATATAAACTTCCCAAATAGTCCATTGCCTTGTGCAATTAATACGTCCACATAAATAATAATTTAAAATTATTATGTAAAGTTCCGTTTGCAGCAGATGGTGCCTCATTAGAGTAAAATAATAATTCCATATCATTAGAAATATCTTTGTAAGGGAACAAGAACTGCCGTAGATCTCTTACGTAAGTTTAACAGTTTATCATTGTGTTTGACGACAAGCCGCCGTGAACTAAACTCGTAAATATAGTCTCAGATGTATTTACGAAGCGAGTTTTAACGCTCGTCTTAACAGCTTTGTGTCTGTTTTCATTAACACAGATGGACTATTACAACACCTGCATCCAATATTTCTTGAAAATTAAATATGTGGTTTTACTTCTACATTTTAATTAATAATAACATAATCGACTGATACGTAAAAGTTTATATTTTTGACGATTTATTTACTCTGAAAATTTAAGTTGGGGTTTAATGAAAACAATATTATTTAGAAAAATCTTTTATTTCTGCATTATTAGCCTTTACAGATGTAATTACAGACAGCTTTTTAACATTTTTTTATTTAAATTAAGTAATTTTTATAACGATTTACAGTGTCGTTTTTATAGTAAATCCCTCAAGCGCACATTCCGGCGCACAGCGTTGTTGAATCCTTCTCTGTATTGGTAGAAAACTCCGCTCGATGATATCACGTCGGGTATAGCGTCTGTGAACAATTAACAATATAACATAAATAATAGTACCTAAACCTGTTACGTACATACAAACGTATACTCGTATATATACATAATGGATGTAGATATTAGGCAAAGGATTGGAACGTAATTTTTAGATTCGTTTTCAATTTGGACATAATATAATAATATAGATACATACATATATCTAGTATTTCTATACGTATAAATCCGCGAGTTATATTATCGTTATAGCCAAAGGGGGGAATAGCAGCTTAATACTGCTGTGTTTCGTATGGTGAGTGTAGAGATCCGGAGACCCTATTTTACTGGAAACGAGCCATTCCATCTTAGTCATCAGGGGTGACAACGCATCTGCGTTTTGATTCTTAATCGAGGATAAATGTAGATGTCTATGGGCCACAGCATCCACTTACTATCAGGTGGACTGTATTCTCGTTTGTCATTCGTATTATTAAAAAAAAATCTTTTATTGAAATCTATTTTTTACATCTTTTTCATTCCTTATTTTGCAACCCTTAAGGATGGATTTTTTTCAATATACTCGGTTCACAATAAATGATGATATGGCGTAACATACAGTAGCGGTATAAGAATACGCCATATCCTCACGTGGGTGTCCTAAGAGGCGGCAGAAGAAACGAACCAGTACATGGACAGCAGCCTCTTTCTAATAAGAATAAAAAAGTCATTTTTAAAAGTTTGCTGAAACACCCTTCAAAATGCACGTTGGTGAGTCCGTTTCTTCGGAGACAACGAGATTTTAACACCTTTCTATTAAAAATTATATTGGGTGTTAAAGTTTACTGCAAACAAGTCTTTTGTGTATAGTGATTGATTTAAAGTGAATATATTCTACCTGTGTTACGTGGGTAATGTATATAAAACAATTCTCGCAAGTGTCTAAAAATTTGACTAAGAGAGTTATCTCAAAAAATTTAAAGTTCTGCTCTATCGATCTTCAGCACTATATTATATAGGTAGTGGTAATTTTCATTATCATACATGGATGTGATATTCGAAAGGCTATGAATAAGATTTAAAAAATCATCTATCTAATTTTTTTTCGAACAATCACTTTGGACGGCTTGGAATCTAAGACTTTGGCCTTTGACAGTAACAAGAAATTAAGGTGTCTTTACAAAGGTGCGGTCTCACGTTCATCATGCCAGAAACAAACACTAGCTTAAAATAGGAGAACCATATTAGCTGGTTAGAAACAATATATTTTATGGTCGGGGAAAAGTTTCTTCGTACTTTATATCCAAATTAAAGACATTTTATTTCAAAGTTTTATTACATTTCATTATAATATATATGTGCCATTTTGTTCGATAACTTGTTGCAATTTTGTAGGTAGTGACATAATCCCGTTGCTGTAGAAATCTCGGGATTTTTGATCAAAAAAATGCGACAAGTAGTTTTGACAGTCCTCTCCTGATTTTAACCTAACACTACCCAAAAAAATCTGAAGAGACCGAAAAAGGTGAAAATCTAAAGGGCAAGGTCAGAACTATATGCATTAACACTTTCCAACCAAGATATCTCAATTTTTGTTGAGTGGCCAAATATGTGTGTGGTCTGGCGTTTTCATGACGAAAGATCACTCTTTTTCTGTTGATCAATTCTGGCCGTTTTTTCTCTATTTCTTACTTGAGTCTCAATAGTTTTTGGCACTAGACATCCGAATCGATGGTTTTGCCCGGCGGTAAAAGCTCACAATAAATGATGCCCTTACAATCCCACCATACACAAAGCATCAACTAATTGTGTGTTAATCCGGGTTTCGCTACAGTCTGTGGAGCTTGACTACCTTTTGATTATCTTCTTCTTACGTCCTTGTCACTTTTAATCACCAGTGATTAATCTTTTCAAAAATGGTTCGGTTTCAATACGTTTCAGTTGAGAATCGCAAGTGAGTACACGATTCATCAGATTTCTTTTAGTGAGCTCGTGTGCTACCCAAATATCGAGCTTTTCTGTATAGACAGACTTTTCAAATGGATCAAACCGTTTTGTGGTCAATTTTCAATTCTTTAGCTATGTTGGTAACTACTAATAAGCCGATCTTGCTCCACTTTTTCAAAAATGGCATCAACTTTTTCCATGAGGACGTCCAAAGCGAGCTGCATCTTCGACCTCAAAATTCCCGGACTGAAAACGCTTTAACCAACTTTGAGCTACTCTTACTGACATTGTATTGGGTTCATAAATGTGACAAATTTTTATCGCGACTTGAGTTGTATTTTTCTTTTTTTTGTAATGAACTTCAGATTGAATCGAATTTCTTCGTTAGATTCACTCATTTTGGCGAACAGAAACACAATTAAAATATAGCGGGAAAGTGTTCTTTTACTTTTCATTTTTGTTAGTGACCTAAATTTATTAAAACCAGCCAGATACAAAAAGTACAACCAAAGAAATTTTTCTTCAATTTTATGCAAACAAAATACGAGGACACTTTTATCCTGACCTATTAAATAAATATATTATTATCTTCGCCAGAGATGTTCAATTTGTACAAACAAATACAGGGTTATTTTTTAAAGACTAGCCAAATTTTAAACTTAAGAGTTCAAATATATAAATAATGATATACCGTTATTGCAGTTATTTGAAAATACGCGTACATAAGGCTTCTATTTTTATTTGAAATTATCCCGAATTGAATGAGATGTATGGGCAACAACATTTTTGCCTACCGACTGACGCTTACGAATGTGTGCTTGCGCAATAAAATCAGTTAAAATAATGCATTACCATGTATTTTGAATTTGAAGGATAAAAAGGACGGAATGTTTGAGATTTTTTTATTAATGTTTCTTTGCTATTTGCCTCCTATATTACTTATTATGAACCTTCTCTGCAAATTTGACCGGTTATTGCAAAATAATCATGTATATCAATTGCAATCTATTATATGTGTAACATTTCATATTCTAAGCACCATATTTTAACCCTTTTGTCATAAACGTCGTTAATTTTAATTATAAGCACATACATTTATCCGAATGAAGTAATAAGTAATCGTTTTTCATAGTATCAATTTATATTAACTACTATAATAATAATAATCATCTTTATTCAGGCAATTTACACCCATACCCAGTAAAATCAATTAATTTAAAATCAATCTCCACAAATTCAGAAATAAATAAATCAATGTCAATCCAAAATAACTATTTTCAAATAGTAACTCCACCAGTCAATTTAAATAGGCAGTAATTTCAGTATATAAAATAATAAAATCGAAATAAAATTAAATTACAATTAATAAGTAACAGGTTTACAGAATTTTATCGGTCAGGGGACGAGATCAATTAAACCTTTCTCTGAGGCAACCGTACTGCAATATGTCTGTTGCAGCAATGCCGGATGATATGACAGTCTAACCTTTCCGCCAGTCTAACCGTCTAAACTTTCCGCGATCATCACCAGGACAGTGTTGGAGCTGGCCCGTACTCTGCTCGCTTGCGCATAGTGGCATGAAACAATCGGTGCGCGCATCGGCGAATATACCAGAGGCGCTAAAATCGAGGCAGCCCCATCACCGCTCTAAAGCATTATTTTATTGAACGCGGAGGACGCTGTAATTCTTCCTACTGTAATTAGACCATAAGCTGTACGAGTTGAGCGATGCACAGGCATAAGAGCGTAACCTTAATTTCCTTTGAACACATCGCAAACCTACGAGCGATCATGTTAGCTCTGATAAACAGCGACCTCCGCTCCCGATCCATATCAGCGTGATCTTTCAGCTCGACGGTGAGTAAATGCCTCAGATATTTAAACTGTTTAACCCTTTCCAGGGGTACATTTAATTTAATTTCAGTTATATTAGCAGTACATTTCGCACCCGAGACCTAAAAGATCATGTTTTGACTCTTCCTGACATTGTATAAAAATCCTTGGCCACATGTATATTCATCGTATATCCGTACCAGCTTTCGCAGGCCGCAGACCGACGCAATCAGCAGCACCATGTTGTCCGCATAACTCAGATTATTAACACAAACACCGTCAGTGTGGTAACCGACACGCTGACTACTAAGCGCTACGATCAGCCCGTTGATATAAAGATTAAAAAGAGTTGGTGATGTTAAGCCGCCTGGCCTGGCTCCACATACAAGCTGATACGGATCAGACATTACGCCCGCCCGCCTGACACTATTAGTCTGGTTTGCGTACCAGTACTGCAGCATGCTGCTGAGTTCTTGTGGCAAGCCTATGTTTCGCAGCTTGTCCCATAGCAGGTTATAATTACCTCTTATCGAATTTAAGAACTAACCATTTATAAATTTATTATCTGTTTGTCTCTCTGGGCTAATTTTCGGAATGGCTGACCGATTGTGATTAAATTTTACAATCAGATAGAGAGACTGCTCTCTAAAAGTAGCTAGGAGTAATCTAGACAATATTTTATCCGAAATACTTGATATTTTTGCTGATTCCGAAAAAAATAATTTTCTATGATGATTATCGTAAATATAAATTACGACACGTAAGTGGATGCAACGCAAGCGAAGCTGGGCGGGTTATTAATACCTAATAATAATAATCAACCTGAAATAACTACTCCATACTACTCCCTATCATTACGTAGGTAGCGTAAGATGCGACATACCAGGAAAGGAGCAGCATTGACTTCCTAATAACAACTAAAATATACGGTTGACCCTACAGGCCATCCCCTGGAACTTCCCGCTTATTTTCGAGCGCAACGCTCGAACATGTATTTAAACTTTTGTTTCCTCGGTTTTTATTTTTTTTAACCGTTGAAACAGCTCGTCCGATTGACGATAGACTTGAAAATCTAATCAGCCCGAAGTCTCAATGAACACTTTCTAAAGTCGTCTACTACTTAACCGATTTTAATCAAATTTGCACACCGTGTGCAGTTTAGCTCAACTTGAGAGATAAGATAGTTTTTTGCCCACAATTTTTTTTTGCGAATTTAAGGATTTTTAATAGGACATGACAAATTGTCGTCTAAAAGGACAGAACAACGTCT